TAAAGGTCTAACCTTTAGTACCGGTTCATGCCACGAACCGGTACTAAAGGGGTCTGACCTATAGTACCGGTTGGAGACACAAACCGGGACTATAGGGCAATTTTCAAACTTGAAAAAATCATAACTAAATCATCCTAATTCAGAAAAATACATATAATATATCAAAATTTGCAGAACAAAAGGATTGATCCGCTGAAACAATTTTTTACTATTTTCCGTTTCGACAATTTTTTAAAATCACAAAATTCCAAAGGGAAAATAGAGTTTTTGGGCGTTTTAGACGTCTTTTTGGACGTTTTTAGCGTTTAGTGCTAGGGTTTAGATTTCAGCGTTTAGGGTTAGGTTTATGGTCTAAACCCTTAGTTTTTACTGTTTAGCATAGAGTTTCCAACGTTTTAAGTCCCGGGTTTAGGGTTTAGGATAATTTTTGAAATGACAACTTGTAAAAGGAAAAAAAGATATGCTCTAATTTATGTTTTTTGAATTTTGGTTAAATCTTGTCAAACCGGTCAAACAACTGATTCAAGAAATATAGAGTGTTACTAAATAATTACGCAATAATATTAGTGTTACTAATTAAGTATCTCAATTTTTTTGAATTTTGTTCAAATCTGGTCAAACTATGGTCAAACTGTGGTCAAACTATGGTCAAACTACTTATTCAAGAAATATTAGTGTTACTACATAATTATTCAAGAATATTAGTGTTACTAAATAATTATTTCAATTTTTTGAATTTTGGTCAAATCTGGTCAAGCTATGGTCAAACTGTGGTCAAACTTATTCAAGAAATATTAGCGTTACTAAATAATTACTTTTTTTTAGAATAATAGTTTCAAACTCAAACGGTGAAATGTGTGACTTCATGCTCAAGCTAAACTCCTGAGGGTTAATAGGATTGACATCTTACTATTGTCAGGAAAACAACAAGTGCAGACTCGGAAACGAAGAAGAATAGAACCTGAAAGTTAAGCGTGCTCGGGCTGGAGTAGTGAGAGGGATGGGTAACCGGTCGGGAAGTTAGATGATTTGGAATGAGTGATCCACACTTGAGCAGTTAAAAGAGGTGATTAGAGACTAAATCATCAAATAATTCAGAAAAAATAAAAATCAAAAAAATCAATTTTTTTTTCCAAAATTTTCAAAAAAAATTTTTCAAAAAAGAACCTTTAGTACCGATTGGTAACACCAACCGGTACTAAAGGTCCCCCGTACCAGGGCGCGAGCTCACGCCACGTGGTGGCCCTTTAGCACCGGTTCGTGCCGAACCGGTACTAAAGGGGGGGGCCTTTAGTGCCGAAACGTTAGTGTCGGTTCCATAACCGGCACTAAAGGCCCTTACAAACCGGTACTAATGGTCCGTTTTCTACTAGTGAGTTCATCACCCATGGCCGAGCGCTTCCCTGGTGACGGCGCGGCGGCGAACGGCTTCGGCCGCCGCCATCTCCACGAAGACGAGGCTCGCCTCCTTTACAAGGCCGAGTACCCGGTCCCGCCGGACATGCAGGTTCCCGGCGCGTGGAGGATTAGCGCCGGCGGCGTGCCGGTGCCCCCAGTACCCACCGGCGCGGCGTGGCGTGCGGAGATCGCACGCATCCGCTCAAACCTGCCGCGGGCGGCGAGGAAGGGACCTCGGTACGTCCCCGACAGTCCGCTCTGGGAGCCCTACTTCCGGCGCCGCCACGCCCAGCAGCTCGAGGCCACCAACGGTGTAGAGCCCTCCGGCAGGCTCAACTCCGCCGGCCGGCGTCGGTGGTGGGGCGTGCCCGGGCGCACGTTGGAGGCCGTCCTCGAGTACATCGAGGGCGGCAACACGCCGCGTCTCGAGTACCCCGCCCCCCTTCCTTCTCACGCCGCCGGGGAAGCTCCTGGACCCCGGGGCGCCTGGAGACCGGGGGGTCCTCCTCCTCGTCCGGCGGCTCGCCCTGCCTCCGCCCCGTCAAGCCGGAGCCCCAGGGCACGCCGGTCAGCGCGCGCACCCGCAGCTCCGGCGTCCGCATCGGCACCAACGCCTCCCCACCCACCGGCCGCTTCGTCCTCGTCGAGCCCAAGCCGGAGCCCGGCCTCCCCACGGAGTACGAGGAGGTAGTCCGGCGTGGCTTCTCCGACGAGGACGCTCTGCGGTGGGCGCGGGACGACTACCTCCGCGTTGAGATGGTCCGGCAGCGCCGGGCCCTGGAGGAGATCGCCGCCCGCAAGCGTGGGCGCGAGGACGAGCACGGCGTCGTGGTCCTCGACAGCGACGACGACGACGACGCCCCCGGACCGTCCAACCCGCCGCGCCAACCGGGGGAGGGATGCAGCAGGGACGGCGGAGGCGCAGGCGGGGGCGGCGACGACGACGGCGGTGACTACACGCGGTTCTACAGCCTCTTCGGCATGTAAAGCGCGTGGGCGGGCGGCGAGGCGGGCGGCGAGGGAGACGGCGGGGGTAGCCCGCGAAAGTTTTTTCCTTTTTTTGTAAAATATGTTTAAATTTAAACGAACTCGCCGATGTTTGCGTTAAATTTCAATCGTGTTTGCGCCGTATTTGAATTTTTTTTAAAAACGTGGGCGCCGCGACTGGGGGACATCACGCCCCCAGTGCGCGGTTTAGCGCCGGCGCGCCCCAGGCAGCGATTTTTTGCTCCTTTTGGGGGGCCAACGGCTGGAGATGCCCTAACAACCTCCATCGGAGACGTCAGCCGGCCTAGGCCCGCCATCGCACTTGAGAGTTTCTGAGTGCGGGAGGCGGCGGCGCAATTGCCTTCCCCTCGCACTCGTCACCATGTAAAGCACCATGCCCTTACGGCTCGGCACGCCCACCTCAGGCGGCTTGCACCACCCAGTACTCCGCTAGCGCGGCAGCAGCAGCGTCGCCTCGGGTCCATGTGCACAGCATTGCGACGGTCACGGGCGGGGCGAGGATTGATCAGGGAAGAGGCAAAGAATTTGGAAAGAGGAAGACGTCGACACAACTGCATGAATTGAGGCTTTATGTAGGAGCACAAAGCGGTGGAAGATTTGACCAAAACCTACCCGAAGGCACACTCGAGGCGGTAAGGAAAAATCGAATCACCCAGCGCACCCTCACACGGTCAACACACGCAAAACGGTCACCGAATCGGCAGGAGAAAACAATACGTCCAGACGACAAAGCCGAGGACACGTACGTTAAACAAATTCACAGTGAACAGCTGCATCCACAGGCGATTCTACCACGACATATTCCAATTTATTACGCGTGCCAAGGCCGGACTGGTCGCTGGTTACAACCGTAACAAGTGGGTAAACATGGTTTGAGAAACTTCATCGGATATAGTGTTCTGGGTATAGGCAGAGGAGGTATGCGTCGTGAACGGCCGCTTCCAATTTTGTTGGAACAGATATGGATGCTTTGGCAACTTGTTCATCTAGTTGCGTGGCTGCAGGTGCCTCTTCTCCGGTTGTGCTTAATTGGTTACTCCATGCCTATCTCTCCTTCTCCTCCTTGACGTGCACGCTTCGACGGCTACTGCGAGATGCTCTTGTGCGACACGCACGCCACAACACGTTCTCATAATAGATATTATTCGACGGTTGCACTTGCACGCTGGGAGTGGGAAGATAAGGCCTGAATTTCAGGGCGCCGGTAAAACTAGCACTAGTACCAGGCCTCCATCTTATCTAAGTATCTATATAAGTTAGCTTGCTTGGTCCGTGCCGGCCTCATCTCTGCTTGCTTGGTGTTCGTCTCCCTACATTCAGTCCCCAACTAACTCCAGGTCCGTGCCGGCTTCGCTTCGCTTGTGGTGGTGGTGGTGGTGCAGAGGAGCCAGCGGCTGCGACACGTACTTGTCCGGACAGGTTTCGCCGCATCAACGTTTCTTTGCTCCTTTCGGTCGAGTTTTTCTCCATAGAAAATGCTTGATCAATGATCAGTTTTGCCAAGTCTCTCTCATTGATGCTTTGCTCCGGTCTAATTAAATGATCAGTTTCGCGCACCATTTCGAGGTGGTGGCGCTCCTCGCCGGGTTGTTCGTCGTGGGTGTAGTGATAACCCCGCCGCCACAGGGCTCGCTGCGACCACCCAGCGTCTGCATCGCGCCATTCCTCTACTACGCCCGTATCGGAAAGCTACAACTATACCTCCTCTTCTGGATCCTCCTCTCTGGCCTCATCACCAGCAACTTGAAGCGCCGCACCGCCGGCGACGACGCGCCCCCGCCGACGCGGACGATGAGGGCGTACCGGGTGCTCGCCCTCCTTCTCTCCTTCGCCAGCATAGTGCTCATCGCTGTCCTTGCCACCTACATAGCGCAGGTCAGATCCACCAGTATCTCCTGCTGGAGCACGACGAGCACGGCCGCTGCATGCCTCTTTGGGAGCTTTTTCGGCGTCGTGTGCGTCGCGCACTACTATGAGCTCGCCACTCTGGTCCTTTGGGCTGTTTAGTAGTATCATACTTTCCGTTGGATGTATGCATTTGTTTATGTAGTATGTATGTCGGTGTGTGAGTGGTTGTTGACAAACAAGGCTCTTTGTTGTAATAATTTCCCCTCGTATCTGTGCTCTTCTGCCATCCGCTTTGTGCTACAAATTGTATGCTTTGATTTCCCCTTGTATCTGTCAAGTACTGTACACACCTGGCCACACTTTAGTCACGTAGAAATTTTTCGTCTTCGTTTAGTAACATGCATGCATGCATTCTTGATTTATCAGCGACGAGTTCTAAGTACCCATCCCATCCAAACAAACAAGGCTCTTTGTTGTAGCATTGCCATACTAACGCACTCCTCTTTTTTGATTGCCCGTTGGCCAAGGTAATTTGGCAGACAGTCCACATTGCTTTTAATATCAATCCACCGAATTATGTTAATGCGTTATTTGGGACTTGGCTTAATGGGATTGAGCCTGGCTTAGCGAGACACATTCGGGTTGGAGTTTCTGCTTTGCTGTGGACCATTTGGACTTGCAGAAATGATTTGGTCTTTAACAGAATATCATGTATACATTTTTTGCAGGTCATATTCTGATCTACGGCACTGATCCGTTCATGGTCGCTACTCACCCAGACGGAGACCAGGGAGTATTTGGTTACTGGGTCTTTCCGCTGGGAGATGGTAGCTCGGGATATCTTCAACCGGTTTGGATGGCGGTCATGTAATAGGATAGGTATTTATTTTCCCTATCTAGTTTGAGTCAGCCGGTTGTGGCATCTTGTCTTGGCTAGCGGGTGTTTCTAGCCTTTTTTTTTTGGCTCTGTGTGAGCTTTATGTGCTTTTTTATTACTTTTGAAGACTTTTGAAACCATGTAGGTACTTCTTTATTTGGTTAATAAGATGGCTGTATGCATCGTTCTGATGCAGAGGCCGGGATCCCCTTTTCGAAAAAAAAAGAAAAAAAATACTAACGCACTCCCAGTTGTCAAATCGTTCCAAACCCCTTCACCCAACGAAGAAAAAGGAGTTACCGAACCAGCCACGCCAGGGCATCTGCCGATCCATTTTGTTTTGTTGCTTGCTGCTGCTGATCGGCAACAGCCTACCTTGTCGTCGGCCTGGCTAATCTCTATCCAGCTACTCGAAATAAGCATGCATGCACCTCCCAACATACTATTTGAACAGGCAGAATCAAAATATTCTGTCTGCCTGGCTCGATCAGCAAGCTCGAAAGAGAACAGGTCTTCAGGCTTTTTCTCAGGTCTTCTCACACCTCTACTACATAGTAGACATTCGGTAGTATATATTGGGGCTTAAAGTATAGTGGGTGGGCTGGGCTTGCTGCATGCTGCTCAAACAGGATTATTTTTTTGAAGAACCTCATGTGAGGGCAGGGGATTCCTGCATTTCATTAAGAAGAAAGATGATCCAGTTTATAAGAAAAATCAGATCCAAAAACCTAACAAAGCCCGGTTAATTGGGAGAAACCGAGTGAACACCGCAGAACAAATACAAAAAAAAAAGCACTAGAGCTTGGGGGTAGGGACTAGGACACGCACGATCTCAAGGCACGTCGTCTGAGCCAGACACAAGAGCGCCAAGGCCCAGAGCTAATCGGCGTGGGTCAAGTGCAACCGGTCTGACTAACAGACTCTCAGAAGATCTCATCCATATCAAGCCTCGCCAGTGCCCATATGTCTAAGAAGGTTCAAATGCCGATTCAAACAAAATGAAAGGGCGTGATGAGGGATCATGGCAGGTTGATCAAAGTACTGGAACTAATGCTTTGAGGGGGAGGTTGGCGTTACCTGTCTGTCGGTTCCCGCTAGTGCTCATATGTCTAGACTAGAGAAGGAAAGAGACAAGTGATCGAGGCTCCGCGCGAAAATTATAGAGACCTTATTCCAAGAAATTTACGTTGTATTAACAGGTAAAAAAATATTGCACTTAATTTGAGATGGCCGCCCAAGATGCAAATTGAACTCCACACGGAGGATCACATCAGATGATGGGCGGCTCAAAAGCGATCGAGCAGGTTGTACTACTATAAAAGTATGTAAATATTCCCATCTTCTTTGTAGTACGCGCGCTATATATAACAAAGTATTAAAGTGGCTAAGCAAGGGCCCTTCTTACAGTTTTGCTAAAACTCATCTAGATGAGATATAATTTGGTCTCATTCATCTTTTATAGCCATTGGATATGATGCTATAAGATGCGTGTGTGCTGACGTGGATGTTATATGTTCTTGTTTTTCAAGCGAATGAGACCAAATTATATCTCATCTAGATGAGTTCTAGTTACCCCTTTCTTATGCATTTCAAGTGCTGGGCGATGGCTCTCATTCTGGGTGACACGTTTGCCACGTCTTAACTGAGCCTCACCTTTTTTTCACGCTGCTTGAGAATTACCGCTGAAGATTGACTAAAAAAGTAGAGTATGTAAATATTCCCAGCATCTTTCTAGTGCGCGCGCCATAGATTGCTAGCTAGCTAGGTTGGTGGAGGACATGTCAACGTAGTAGCGAGAAAACTTGGACGCAAACGGGGCATCCTCCACGTACGGTTCCCAGTCAAGCAAGCTGGCCCTACTGCATTTTGCCAAAACCGTGATTATTGGTGGATTTGATTGATGGATCTAACGACCCGACAAAGCTAGGATTTGAGACTTCATCCGACCAGATGGATTGAGGTTACATGAACTTGTCCATTAGTTTCATTTTAGTAACAACAAAACTAAGTTTATCTTTTCTGCTGTGAATGTAGTCAATTAAGGAAGTACTCCTACATGTTTGTATTTAACAAGTGGCATGAGGTTGACTGGTTAGCTTGCTCTGTTGACCCAACATAGGGCATCTTCAAGGCGGACCCATACAGCTCCCGCAACTGTCTGGATCGCACGGCCCTGTATCGGTCCGCAAGACGATCCGGACGCGATTTCTCCCACAAAACGGAGACAAAAGTGGGGGAGGTTTGCGGTAGTCCGGACACGTGAAACGTACAAATTTGACACCCCAGGCCCACCCAAAAATATTTCCGGACATCGTGACCCCATCCTCTCCATTTTCTCTCCTCCCTTCTTTCTCTCTTGTTGTCGCTGCTGCTCCACCACCCCGGCCACCACGCCACACCCTTGCCGGAAATCTGCGTCTCCGTCACCTCCGGCGATCCGGCAAGGCTCCCCGCCGCTTATCCTCCGTCTCCATTCAACCCTCTGTCCTCCGACTGCCCCACCAGGTACCATTCTCTACCATGCCCGACAATTGTTCGATGAATCACCAGAGCTGAAACACAGATGTCCCTTCTTGTTTGTAGCAATGGATTTCGATTTGGAGTACATATGCGAGTAGTATGTTGAGTCCTCCGATGGCTCATCAGACGAGGAGGAGTACTTCGATGAGACCGCGATGATGCAGGCGGTCCTTGAAGACGCGGGGCGTGCAGACGAGCATGTTCTCAATTTAGGGCTCGATCAAGGGTCATTGCGTGCTCAACCGCAATAGGGCCCACAGGCCTTTGACACTGGTGACCGACTACTTTTCCCCCGATGCACTCTTCGCTGACCATTTTCGCCGGCGTTTTTGGATGCGCAAGACCGTCTTCGATCATTTGTACCATGGCGTCCGATCCTACGATGACTACTTCATCCTGAAGAAGGACGCCATGGGAACGATTGGCTTCTCTGGTTACAAGAAGTGCATGGCCGCACTCGGGATGCTTGCATATGGCACGGCCACTGATTCGTGGGAGGAGTACCTACGGATGTCTGAGAGCACATGCGGAGATGCCATGGTCAGGTTTGCAACTACTGTTGTCGAGGTGTTCGGACCTCAGTACCTAAGAGAACCAACTGTGGCAGATACCGAGAGGTTCTTGGCAATCTCAGAAGCAAGAGGGTGGCCGAGTTTGCTTGGATCTCTTGACTGCATGCATTGGAAATGGAAGAACTGCCCAAAATCTTTTCAAGGGCAATATCAGGGTCATGTTAAGAAGCCCACCGTCATTCTTGAAGTAGTTGCATCACATGATCTTTGGATTTGGCACGCTTTCTTTGGCATGCCTGGGTCACACAATGACATCAATGTGCTACAACGGTCGCGTTGTTTGCAAGGCTGATTAAAGGAAAAGCTTCTCCTTGCCACTATACTATCAATGGACATGAGTACAACATGGGCTACTATCTGGTTGATGTATCTATCCTCCATGGGCTACCTTTGTCAGCACCATCTCAAACCCAGTTGGCCAGAAAAAGTCTCACTTTGCCCAAAGACAAGAAGCAGCTAGGAAGGATGTCGAGAGGGCATTTGGAGTTCTTCAGGCCCACTTTGCAGTTGTTCGTGGACCTACAAAACAATGGGATCTGGAGACCTTTATGGGAGGTGATGACATGTTGTATGATCATGCACAACTTGATCGTCAAGGATGAGGGTGATGACGAGGACATGTATTGGGGGTAGGGTAACAGGCCTGACCTAAAGACCCTACCCATGGGCATCGTACACTTTGTACTGGGCCCCTGGGCCAGATCGCCGTCCAGATGTACCGCAACTTGAAAGTCACTCGGACGGCATCAACCACACGGAGCACGTCACTCCACTCGACGAACTCAATCCACTCGGCCGTGTAACTCACTCGGATATGCGCAGACCAGCAGTCAACAAGGCACACGAAGCATCATCTTAGTAGTAGGCTGAGTTATGGCATTAACGCCCCCACTTTGTAACATAGGAGGTGAGGGGGTGGCGCACTCTATATAAGCCACCCCCCACCGCTAGACTAAGGGGCTCTTTTTCTTCCACCTCTCTCTTTGTAACCATTAGTCTCAGGACATAGCTGAGGCAAGGAGACCCGCTCTCCCCTCTCTCTCTCAAACACATATTGTAATCTCCGGATACATACTCAGGAAAAACAAAGCCTCTCCGGAGCACGAGACGTAGGGCTGTTATCTCCACCGTGAGAGGCCCGAACTCGCTAAAACCACCGTGTCACCCATATGCATCTCGATAGATCATGC